ATCAGTTATTGGTATTCCACACTTTTTCATTGCTTGGGGTGGTGGAAAGTAATCTTCAGAGTTCGACTATAATAGTGGGACATCTAGACTTCTTAAAGTTTGTTCATTCATTTCACTAGAAAATTGGTACTGGAGTACGCCGGTGCGACAAATCACCGTAAGCTTGCTTCTAAGTAATCTTTAGAGAGAGATTGTGGTCAGACAGGCCTCAGTCAAATGCCTTCGCCTTTTACAAAGAATGCACAAGCAGGGCTTCCGACTTTTTACACTCTGTTTTCAACCACAGCGGTGTAATAGCACCTGTTTTAACTACCAAAAGTTGTTTGCGTTATGTGCAGTTTGTGAATTAATTGCACTTCCGCTCTAAGGTATTGTCAATTTACTATAAACTTGCTTGAAATGTCAGACGAGCACTTAAACACATGCACAAATACACACAAAGATATAAACTCAGGCACCTCGCATAGGCAAGTTTGTTGAAATATGCGTCTTTGCATTTACGCAGTACAAGTCAGTTGCGGCGTACCAGGAAACTTGCCGATGCGAACATACGCTTTTGTACGATTTTGTGTTGAGGTGAAATCGTTTGAACTGCGCTCACTGTCATATCCGTAGCAAATTTCAAATTTATAGCTCGAACGAGCCGTTTCGTTTTTCCGCCAAAAACGCTGTGACTTGTATTATAGGCATAAGGGATCAGCACGAAAATTTCCTCATGAACTTTGAAAAGAACCTTCTTAGCCCAGCTCCTGAATTGGTATTTTGCCAGCTAATACGAGGTGCGTTCAAACTGAACTCGAAATCATTAACTTATGCAGGGGCACAGAATACCTTTGATATTTTCAGTTCCCTGTCGTTTCTGGTTTCCCAAGCCCTTTTCCGCCAAAAAACTTGCACATTTTCTTAAGCGTTCGTGGCCGAGACCAAGACGTATGTGGTAACGTTTCGAAGCGTGGTTGTGTCACCAGCAGTGAGGTTCTATGCCACATGTAGGCAACCGGCAGCACGTGAAAGGAATCAGAATGTGGTGCCTAACTAGACGAACCGGGGGCCTGTACTTCGCGACGTTTCTGTACCCTCATGAAAATAAATACGCACGAGGCTAATAGACGATAATCCAGAAAATACTTGGAGACCCCGTGTGAGTGGTACAAACCCAGATGTCAGCGGTCTTGTGTCGAAAGTTCGAGTCCCAGAGTACATTAGTCTGATATTCCTTTTTATGCGTTTTTTGCAGCAATGCAATGCGGAAAACGCATACTGACGAGAGGTCGTTCGTGTGTGTGTGTGTGTGTGTGTGTGT